TTTTTTTTTTCATAATCGTTTACGACGCAAAAAGATTACGTTACGTCATATAACCTATGTTATGCGATCTACATAATTCGAAAATTTATAAATGCAAAAATTCGAAAATGTAATAAAAAATGTCTTATCGATTTTTTACATATCTAACGTATCAAAATCAATGAAGCGCGTCTCATTTCAATAGATTTTTATCATCGATATTATTGTTTAATAAATTTTCCAACAAATTCTATACTTTTAAATAAATTGACTTACCATTTGGAACAGATGTGTTTTCTGTCTCGATCGAAAAATTGACAAATAATCTCTTGATCTCTTCTTCGAGGCTAGTGTTGAACGGATAAAAGAAGTTCGACACCTGTGGCATCGGAAGTTTTTGCATGAGCGAGACATGCATCGCGAACAATAAACAGAAATTACGATAAGAAACGAATAAGAAAGAAAACTGACAAAATCGCGTACACGCAACTTTTTTACGAGAAGATGGAAGACGAAAGATCGCGAATAACGATAAACGAGAGACGTCTCGATCCACCACAGTCGAGTTTCGAAATTCAACTGCCGAGTGCCAAGCTAGGATGTCACTTTAGCGTAACCAACGATCGCGAAGAAAGGATCTGATGGTGGGGATGATGCCTCCATACTTGAATCCGTATTTCGTATATTCAAGTACTTATATATTACATATTCCTGTAAAAAAATTATAATAATTGTATATGTAAAAATATACAATTTAATTATTAATCTATGATCGATCTATAACATGAATTTGAAATTAATATAATTCAATGATGGAAAAGGAAGGCGTGAAATATGAAACTGTATATTTTGTTGGTACTTAAAAAAAATATGATTTAACGTTGTTGAATTTTCAAACGGTTTTATTGAGTTTTTATTAAAAATTGTTGATGAAATTTTTGAAATGTAATATTCGGACAAAAGAGCGAATTGAGATGAAACGAATGCCGTATCGAGATGTTTGTATTTCCTGGACGGCTCGGAAAGGTCGAATCGCTTTGATCTCGCCGCGAGACGACAGTGACGTTAAATTGTAATTTAAATCCACAGACATTATGCCAGGCTACGAAAGAAGACACAGTTTTTCACTCATTTATTTTTAATATCAATATGTATATCAGTTATATAAAAATACTGGAAAACGATCGTTCGCATTGCGGTACTTTTTTAACGATCTGCGTGTACTTTAATGGTAATTAATGGTTCGCTTGCGGCAACTGGTTTCGATCGATGAATCGAAATCGTATCTTTTTTGGTGAAAAAAGAGACAAATGAATATTCGCTAATCTTCATCTTTATTGTTACTGTGTAAATATGTAGGCACTGAACAAATAATGTTTCATAATTTGTTTACAAACATTTACATTTACTGATCTTCTTTTTTGTTCAATCATTGAATATTCTCTGCGAGCAGCTTGGCCACATTAGCCAAGACCGCTTTTAATCCATCTGCTCGACCTTTTTAACATCCTTACGCGTAAATATCATTATCGTCTTTCAGCATTGTATGCGCTCGACCCAATTTCTAATTACGATCTCAATATTTTATCAATATATATATATATATAATATATATATTTATATATATATTTATTTTATTTTGTTATGTATATTTTAATCTCTATCCGCTAATATAATGTTTTTCTAGTCTAAAAATTACCACGATTATTAAAGATAATATATACTTCTGGGAAATTATAATTAAAATAATAGTAAATATAATAATATGTCAAACATATATGTCCCGTGTTCGTGTATGAGTGTAAAAAAGAGAAAAAGAGATAAAACGATAAAGGAAGAGGGAGAAAAAGTGAGAAAGATGGATGGAAAGAACAATGAAAGAAAAACAATGAAAGGAATAAAACAGGACGCGGTTCGTGAGGAAAAAAAATTACAGATAAACACAAATTCTAAACTTTGGCTAATGAGAAACAATATTCCACAGAAGCGAGAACGCGACGTCGTTCCATCGATCGATCAGTGCCCGTTATCGCATCTTTCGATGATTTTCAAAACGTGTTATGTTATTAAGTAAATAAACGAGAATTAAAATTTTAAAAATAAAATAGAAATTGAGATTGAAAGAGAGAAAGACAGAGAAAGAGAGAAAGAGGAAAATAGAGAGAAAAGTAAAAGGAGACGAATAGGCAGTGGAAGAGGAAGTTTTCTGTACGAAACGGATGCGATACGAATGCGCATGCGTGTAATGCTTGCGTGTATGTGTACGCAATGATCATGCATATGATGATTTACCATCGGTAAAAGAGAGAAAGAAAAAAAAAAGAAAATTCTAATTTTGTTTCGTTTTGTTCTTTTTTTTTTTTTTTTTTTACTTTTCATTTCTCACGGACAGCGGAAAGAGAGAAAGAACGAGAACGCAGAACTGAGGGGTTTCGAATTGTTTTTATCGTCTAACCGTTTCAGCCTTTTTCTTCGTGTCTCAAGTATAAAATTAAATGGGCGATAAAGCCTTCGTGTAAAACTATACTCATATACTTTGTTCTCTCTATTGTGCTCAAGTGTAACAACCTTTTTTTTTTTTTTTTTTTTTTTCTACCGGGGGGTTTTTTTTTTTTTTGTTTAAATTCGGGTTTTTTTTTTTTTTGTTTAAATTCGGGTTTTTTTTTTTTTTGTTTAAATTCGGGTTTTTTTTTTTTTTGTTTAAATTCGGGTTTTTTTTTTTTTTGTTTAAATTCGGGTTTTTTTTTTTTTTGTTTAAATTCGGGTTTTTTTTTTTTTTGTTTAAATTCGGGTTTTTTTTTTTTTTTTTTTTTTTGCTATACATGCGTGTTTTATTATATTTTGTTTTTTCTTCGTACTTTCCTGTATATTACGTATACACTCGGAAATTCTCGAGTATTGAAAATTGACAGAGACTCGATTACGTTGTTATACATGAGACACTGATAACGGCGATGCTGTTCTCTTAACAACGAAATGTAACGCTGATTAATTTAACCGACGATCATTATTTTTTTAATACGCATTTTAATCGCCGATTAGGGTTTCTCATATTTCTTTTTCCCCGACTTCCATTATTTTTTTTGTTTTTTTATTTTCCATTTCTCCTATCGCGTTTGTATTTTGTAGTAATTTTAAGTGATCTTCGTACGTCGATGTCGCGGTGGTCCGTTTTGGAATAGCTATATAATTATTATAAATATATTCATATGTGTATGTGTCTCTGCGTGCGCGTCCGTGCATGCGCACGCGTACACGCTTATCCTGCGTGCGAATGCACACGCGCGTACACGTATACAATAGGTCCATGCGTTTTTTTTTTTTTTAAATCTTTTGTAATGCGCGTGTAATGCAATGTATGTGACAGTGACATAGTGTATACTAGGAATGTACATAGTGTACGTAGATATAATTAAGTTGTGTATAAAACGATGATACATACTATATTCATTACTCGTTTATATCAAACGACACATAATTATGATATCAATTTTTTTAGTCTCATTGTACGATGCACACGGCGATCGGGCATCGTTCGCCAATAATAGGCTAGTCTTGTCCCGTCTTCCCATACAATGTCGATGTAGTCCGGCGATCTTGTTACGGTCACAAGGTCGCGCGGCATGAGATTATCATTACAAGAACTTCCAAATGAATGGCCATCAGTCTTTGAGACGTACGGTTTGGCATACGCGCGATCTCTTCGTTTAATAAAAAAAAAAAAAAAAAAAAAAAAAAAAAAAAAAAGAAAAAAA